CTTTATATATGACATTTTGGTATCAATACGTCAATATATTTTAAGAGACAGGCAAACTTAATGCAAATAGTGATGTCTGCACAAGCACAAAATGACCCCTGTTCTGGGCAGAGCAATAATGAAATCCTCCAACCACATTGATAGCCCATCCTCTTCTGTTGGAAACTTAGAAGATAAAACAGTTCCTCTTGCATATTCAAAACCTACTTGGCTAGTGATGTGAGACATAATCCGTACAGAAATAGAAGCACTGCCATGCCATACTTTATTTCACCTATAAAATTTTACCACGATTCAAAAGTTTGTTGCTATTCTAGTGTTTCCTTTGGTTCCAGATTTAGTTCAAGAAAATTTTACAAAAGAATCATATCAAATGCTTTCAAAACCCCACCTCAAAAATCAGAGACATTTAAGTTGCTTTCTAAACTAGCCAAGTATGACTAAGAATGTGCCCATAACCAAAAGCACAATTTCTTCTTCCCCGACTTGTTGCCGAAGTTGCAAGTCTAGAATTTCAGTCATTTATTCCAAGGTCTCGAATTGCGGACGCATAGGAATCTGGATTTGAAAATCCTCTTCCATGTCGGTGTCTTAGAAAAGAACAGAATGGATAGCTCTCACAGTTCCCCACACTTGTGTATACCTCTTATTACAAAATGAAACTTAAAATGAAGATACAGACTTGAGACCTTGTGCCCCCCGGTATACAATTGTTCCTACGTGGATTTACACTACCACGAAGTAGCAGATCTGCGAGTCAAATAGAAAAGTCCATGAATGGACTCGTTTCCACACTAGAGCATCAAAGCTTAAGCCACTCGCACTAGGGGACATTATTAATGCATAATTTACAATAAAAGCTAAGAACCACCGAACTATAGAGTAACATATTAAGTATTATTTATTATTTGTAATTATCTCTTGTTGTACTTATCAACTTATACTAGCTTAGCCGCGTGTATAGTGGGTTATTCCTAAACTATCTCCTTAATTAGTGTAGACGGTTAGTTCCTAGAACCTTCTGTAATTGTATTTAAATGGCAACATGATGTATCAGCAATGCATCGAATATACAAAAACCTTCATTCCATATAGTTCTTTATGGTATCAAGAGCCTTTCTCTAAAGAGATTCTATACACTCCATTTTTTTCCGGTCATTCACCAACATGACAATCACGGCCAACACCAATGTTATTCAACTCACTGCTACGGCCAATTTTCCCATCAAACTTACCTCCTCCAATTTCTCTGTTTGGAGATGCCAAGTTCATTCTGCTCTCATAGGGCTTGGACTTGATGGCTATGTCGATGGAACCGTCAAAACCCCTGATCAGTTCCTCGATGATCTGAAGACTACACCAAATCCGTGCTATACCATATGGCATCGTCAAGATAAGACAATCCTGAGTGCTCTTCTCGGTAGTTGCTCCGACACCGTCCAGCCTATCATCTCCTCTGCCGCCACGGCACGGCAAGCCTGGGATAAACTGGTTGTCACTTATGCTAGCACCTCTCGTGGCCGGATCATATCCCTTAAGACGGCCATGGCCCGCACCACGAAGGGAAGCCGCTCCATCACAGAATATCTTGCTGATATGTATGCTCTCTCTGAATCATTAGCGCTGGCTCAAAATCCACTCCCTGAGGAAGATCTGGTAATCAACATTCTTAATGGGTTAGGACCCGATTATAGTGAACTCCAAGATATACTCCTGGAGCATGAGGCCCGTCACAATGAACAATCGGCGTCCACTCAGTCCCTTGTTCCTACGGCCAATCTCACTCAGGTGAATACCACTTAAAGGTGAATTTTCTAGAAGATTGTGACATCGTAGATGAAGATATAGACATTCTAGATGATGACGTGGGCCTTTCATTTTTCTTGCCCACATTCTTCGTTTTCGTAGCCACCAGAAGGACTCGAGCTTTTGCCTCTTGGCTTGGCTTTCGCAGCCTACGTTCTTACGTAAAAGGTAAACCAGAAAATTGGCTGTGAATTGGGGAAGGACTTCTGTGCAATAAATATATTTGAAATTAAAAAGTGAGGTGGATTAAATTACCAATGAGATGTTGACAAGTATGGAATGCACTGATACATCCCTCAACGTGTATGCACCATAATTTTTTCCTACTTTTTTTTGCACTAAACCTGAAATTTGGTCATACAAAAAAAAATTAAACCTGAAATTAACATATTTCACACCTGAAATTGCACTTCACACATAAAAGCTTGCAGATGTAAAGAATGGTGCTTGAAATTAACTGAAAGCCTCACTACTTAGCATCATAAATTTCAATTCCGACCTTCAACATACAAGTATAATTCTATTTTCTTAACGATAGTTGCATAGTGACATCTACAGATCGACTTTCGGATCCGTGAACAAATAAACAAATGACAAATCCAGTTACACCGGGGGTGTGAATCAAATCCCGAAAATGGAGAAGAAAAACTGTGACTTGTGATCGCGAGCGACCTGCGCACACGGATGTCGTCCAAAAATTTATCTTTCAAAGATACAATTTAATCTTTGTTTCTTTCCTTTACATTTCATTTTTTCCAAGAAGTGCACGGGCAGAACGTCTCTTCTTTTCGCAGCAGAACTGCTCGGCCAGAAGACCTCAGAACCAGAAGACGTCATGGTGTTCTGGTCATTACATGGACAGCCTTAAATGCCTAACGTTCTTGTCTTTTAATGCGTCTTTAAATGGACAGTTTTACGACATATTAATGCCTAACATGCTGGTCAATTATGTCCAACGTTTAGGTCCATTAAAGGTCACTTAACACTCAACAAATATGTCCCTATATATAGCTGGCAGGTGTTTCGCAACAACACACGTTCATACACAGTCTACACATACTTTTTGATCTAAACACACCTCCAGTATTCCGAAACATTCCTGAGTGTTCATACTTTGTTCTCGTTCGCCGGAACTTTCGTTTGTGTACTCAAACGATCGTTCATTCGCCATTGTATCCTGGGAAACGGTCGTTGCAACACTCCGATCCTTGCACCGTGGGAGGCAACGAATACGTTTTAAGGACATCGTGCGTAGCACGAGCTCTAGCTAAATTCTGCTCCATCTTTTTCTGTTTTTCTTATAGTCATTTTAATTAATTTTATTAATTGATTTTTCTTTATTTTCCGAAACACGCCCTACACTTCCTCTACTCGATCCAGCAATTATCCAAGACAGGCTCTCCCAGACAATTGGCGGGAAACTTGATAATTGGTCGGAAACGCATTTAATGTACCATATATATGGAAAGTTTTACAGTTGGGGGTTCATCCACTCAGGATTGAGCACAATACCTCCACCTACTATTTCCTGGTATAAATAGCATCATGTACTTCATTGTAAAAGGTTGACAACTTAATTTGTACTCTTAGCAATAAATTTATTTCTAGTTTCTTCTGTAGCATCCAGCTTGATCTAGGGGCTTAGTACGCTTGTTCGACATAAGTGTTGTAATCGTTCTGAAGACATCAATAAAACTTGATCCAGTTTGCCTCTAATTACTTGCTTCGTCCTTAGTTCTCTATAGCCTAAAGCATTCACTAAATCAACTCATAACTAATAAGAAACTCTTGCGAAAGCCAAAGAATTATGTTGCGCTTTTGGACCTTCAAGATTTAACCTCAACACACAGGTTAAAATTATTGCTACAGATCTTGTCGATCACACCATTACATAATGGTATGCATATGATAATTCCATGTGATATTTCATAAGAATCTACGAAATTAGTTGAAATTGACTTCCGTGACAAGCAAAAAAGGATAAACTTAATTAGGAGATCAAAAGAATGTCTATATATTGTTCGATCTAGTCCTTCTGGACTTCTGGCCAGCATGGTTACGTTATTGAAATGCATGGAAATGTAGAATATGTGGTCTTCTTTTATGCCGTGTGCTTCATGAATTGAACTTCCATTCAAATGTCCACCGACCTAACACCTTTACTCCCTTAGTTCCTAAATATGCTGTGATTTTGCACAATTTTTAATTTGTTCACAATAATTTGTTGTCCTTTTACCCTTCATCAAGACTTCAATTAATCGTTCATTATTGCACTTTTCCAACTTTACGCTCCTAAAGCAAATTACCATTACAATATGTCATATTCTTGGAGTTTCAATTTGTAAAGTATATATAATCTTAGCTTTTTCCAATTAAACATTTCAACAAATCTTTAATGTGCTAATGATGAAATCCTTCTCGGCGCAAAAAATCACACAAGATGTTGAAGACCAAGCCTGGCCTAAGTGGGATGTGATTAATTAGTTGGATCTTGGCATTATACTATTCGTATATGGCAACAAACCAAACGAACATACCCAAATTACTCTTAGCTAGTTACGTGCACGTGCGTAATTCAAGTTAGTTCTTATATTCATACTGCCCGGCCAGTCATCTTATGTGCCTTCTTCTACGTATTACTACATTGGTTCATCAATTAAATCCACAAAATATGACAATGGATGTATTTAATTGGACGTTTTCAGTTCCAGACTTAAATAAATCAGACCAGACCAGCTTAACTTTTGTAGTTACAAAATACACAGAGATCAGACGTTTACCAAACCAGATCAGACCAGACTTAAACAGACCAGGCCTGAAAATTACAATCCAAGTAAAAACATCGTGCATCACCCATGACTATCTGATCTTTCAGTTTTATTCGGTAGTAAATATAATCAAATTTTTTGTATAAATGTTATTTAGGTAATACTTAAGGAAAAAGCTATAACTCAAAATCCTTAGGCGCCCTCCCTACTAAATATGACTATCGATTTCTTTTTTTCTATTTTATGGTCTTCCCCATGTATGCATGGTGTTACTGAAACTCCTTTTTCTTTTTTGAATCCAGCAATAAAATACACACACAATCGTAACATTTCGGGCCCGAACGATTCCAACTTTAATATGTAGTACTCCGTAAGAACGTACCTTATAACTTTAAAAAAACTACTACTATGACGGTATAGACGGTATAGTATGAACTACTATGAAAAACTTACATATACCGGACATGTTCATTAGATGATAAGAGGCTAAGAGCAGTGTTTTAGTATTCATGTTCCATACGTAGTATGTGTGATATTCTAAAGTATCTTATATATCTAGCTTAATTAGTCATATATACATGACTATTTATATATAGGTAACTTTAGTTTACTTATACACATGAATAGATATATATTTATATATACGAAGTATATAAGAGCTCATGCCTATACAATATTCGGCTTTATCATCAATTCAAACTACTACTATAACTTTGACTAGAGAAAATGGCGGGCATGGAGGTGGAGGAAGTTGAACCCTTCCATTGGTACATCACTGACCGTGGAGTTAAGCTGTTTTTTCTCACATTCTTTTTCTTCCTACTCTCATTTTTCCTCCTCGTTTTCCTCTTCATCCGCTTCATTCGAAAGCATGTTTTATCTGCCGATGACGATGACGTCCCAGAGCTCACCACGACAAGAAGGCGACTTAACGTTATTATAAGACATGATGATCACTCGAGTGGCGACGGAGTTACGGTTACGGTGGAGGCTCCGCCGTCTCCGGCGTGGTCTGGCGTTGATGTCGAGGTCATCGAGAACCTGCCGGTCTTTACTCACGGGTTATCGACGGCGGCGGAGGGTTTGGACGATGATAAGAGAATGGGTATCGGAGGAACCGATGAGTGTATAGTATATGTTTGGGAGCTTTTGAGGATCAAGAGATCATTAAAGTGATGCCGGAATGTATGCATGTTTTCCATTCTCATTGTATTGGTCGTTGGTTGACTGCTCGGTCAACGTGCCCTCTTTGTAGGTCAACTATAGGCTGCAATGCATATTATTAATTCATCCAGATGTTTTTATTTGGACCGATTTCACTCAAAACATCATCATATCTTTTACGGAGTATAAATTAAAGACATTTACACATACATTTTCTTTAGTCTTATACTCTAAGAGCATTTGCAATGGGAGGGTAGATTGTTGTAGTGATGTGACATAGGGTGGATTGTAATGAATATTTGAATGAAGTGGTGTGTAGGGGAAAATGAAAAAGAGGATAGAGAGATAGAGATAAAAAGTAGATCTAGGTCTATGACAAGGTCCATAAATGACCCTTATACGAGATTCGAGGAGGAAAAGTTGATGAAAAGTGGGTTAAAAGTAATATAAAAAAATGAAAATGAAAATAAATTAGGAAATATGTGGATCTTACACATAAAAACGGTGAGATAAAAAATGAGACTCATGTCTAAGGGTGTGTAAGAGAGTTGCTCTTATCTCCCGCTCTTATCGCAAGTCAACGTATCATGGAGTGCTTTGACTGAGCCAGCTTTTATGAGGGATTAGAGGTTGAGTCTTACACAGTCAAACTGGTTATCAGTCTTACACAGTCAAACCCGTTGACTCGGTCAAGTAGAATTTAACTTCACTGTACTATATACTCGGTTTGAGCTTGAACAAATTCGGTAAACACTACAAACAATTACGGGATTCTCACGGGTTTGACACGAATTGATAACTTTAGAATTGAGGAAGTGTTTAAAACGACATTTGACCATGATTAGAGATTTTGTTGTTGTTGTTTAAAAGTGATAAATATTTATACATTACAGGCAGACCTTAGAGGGAGTTGTTTAAGGTCGCTGGACTAGCACTATTTGCTCAATCCACTCTTTCATATCTATACAATATTAACTCAACTGAACATTTTACCTATGCTAAAAATTGATACAAATCTAATTCTAATACATTTAAAAAGTGAATAACAACGTGAAACTTGTATGTTCTACTTTTTTTAAAAAGTGGGACAATTAATGAAGAGAATGAAATGAGTTAACTGATAAACAATGACTCAATGAGACAATTTTGGAGACCCAACTATAAAGATTTTTTTTGGAAGCCTTAATAAAGTCCGAACTTGAGACTAGCTAACTTGTGACTTGAGTTGTGAGACAAGCCACAAGTAACCCATAACTAATTTTACCCAAAACTGGTGAAATAGAGATGAATGACATTAAATCCATCACATTTTTATATTTAAAATACATTTAATGTTTTATACCATTCATACCAATAGGCTGACTCAAGCATAATTTGAACAAATTCGATCAGTTTAGCTATTTTAGACAAATTCTTCTATGCCAAACGGATTTTATGTTCAGACTATTTAATCTGTATGAAGTTTGGGATGAGAAGATCGACTATGATCATAGAACAAATGTCTTCTCAAATGATCGACGTCTGTACAAAACTACAAATATTATGGACATATGGTAGGTGATGATCCTTTGGTCCTTAATTGTACCCACTATGTTTGCGATGCAATAATTTCATATTTAGGGTAGGAAAAATTGTGAAATTTCATATTCTCCCTAACACCAGTTGCCACATATGAAAATACCAAGCTAAAAGCCTGAGTACGTTTGGTGAACATGGTATATTGGTATTATTAGACATTAAATAAATGACTATGATTTTGAGATGACATAACTTAATAAAAAATGCAGAGCTTGTACAAAATCACTTCGAGCGAAACACTAAAATTAATTTCCATATATATGCGGGATGAATGGATTATCATAGTATTCAAAGAAAATTTACATATGCTCAAGAGTCAAGATTGATACATACCTAATTCTAATACCCAAAGGGTTAATCGGGCATATGTAAATACATATTTTAGACACCTAGAGATTCAAGCCCATAGGGCAAGAATTGACATGGATGTAGAGCCAAGAACAAGGGCACCAAAAGATGCCTTCTTCAAAAATGGTTCAGAACTCATCAACTTGTTATGAAAGAAGTCGAGAGCTATGAGATCAACAAGCGCCATGTATATAAGTATACCAGAGGACAAGGAACCAAGCAAACCTTCAAGAATCAGGGCATTTGAGCTGCTGTCATCGTACCCAGTAACCGAGAAGACAATCATACCCAATACTATTCCCATTGGGGTTGTTACTGAGAACATGAAGCTCATGTAAGCTGTTGTTCCAATACTAAATCCCGCCTGTCATAATTGCCAAGGAAATGCACACATGGTGGTTACTTATAGAGATTAAAGACACTGAAATATTATAACACCTTCCCCCCTTGCATGCATGAATAAAATCATACCCTTCTTGTGGAGAGTGTTCATTCTTAATGTTATTAAGTACACCCACTATGTACATGATTTTATCACATGAGCATCCATGTATGTAGAGTACGTAATCCTTCCAGGCATCCACTTACAAATATCATCCATGAAAATTAAAGAAGTATACAAATGGAGATTCAGTTTTGGTTCTTATCATTCAGCATGAGTAGCTAACAACTCAAGACTCCATTGAAAATTTGATTTTAAATGTTACCCCCCCTTCCCTAAAAGATAAGAAATTTATTTCTGATATTTTTTTTTTAATAACAAGACTATAAAAGCATGTCCTTTTGTAGTTCTTTTGGAAAGAAGTTAGTAATGCTACAGGGACACTATTTCCCAGCCATGGTGAAAATTTTCATGGTAAAATTAACACTATATTCTTAAAATATAAGGTATCTTGTCCATTCAGGTAAGGAGACATTGATCATTTGATATGGATGAAGTGCATGCCCCAATGTGCTTGTCCTTTTCTTATTTTTTTGCATATTGATTGTACCACTAAGAGCATCTCCAATCCAATGGTGCATTGGAGATGATGTGGCAACCCAATGGAAAAAGTCTATTTGATGTATGGACCAATTTTCTTAAAAATGATAGGGTCCGTTCAAGTTGTGCTCCAATGCAAAAAAATAAATAAAGTGAGTGCACTCCCATCAAAGCCTCCAAGGTGAGACCCAAGGTCCATATATGGACCTCATGCTAGACCTTGTCTCTTTTTTTGTGATTGCCAACTAAGCATGATCATGTCCATTTCTTTTTACATTGGAAACTTCATTTGCAAACAAGAGTCTATTGGCTTATGTGGAATAGCAATCCACCCCCACATTGGAGATGCTCTAAGTAGTATCATTTACAACCATGTTGTCGTATTAACACATGCACATTCATCTTCCATAGTTCCACACTTCCATTATGCATTAAAACTAGACATTTGGTATTACTCTGCAGCTGATCTATATATGGACTGACCAGTAACAACTAAAAAATAAAAAATATTCAATGGAAATGGGAACCTAAAAAGGAAAATCAAAAGTAAAGTTCATAGCAATAATCCCACATATTAGCATGCTTCCCATATTAATTTGCATGTACCTTTCCAAAATGAATTAATAAGCCACATAAATCACTTTAACATGTCATGGGGAGACGACACTTTATAGTTGGCCAGTGGAAACATAGCCAACTTGCATCCCTCTCACCCCTTAAAAGAACCTTTCACACCTTTAATGGCGGTGGTGGCAGATGGACGATGATTAGGTGAAGGGGAAGGAGGAGCAGGGGGGCAATTTGATCAAATGGCAAGCTATGGGTTTTTAAAGTCAAGTGGTAGCTGCACGCCGACTTTAGGGTGGAGGGCAAACAACTATTTCTAAAATTTCCCCATCTTGAAACAAACCATCTTAAATTCAACTTTTTTCTTGTTTCCGGGTGGGTTGAGGGGTTACAACAGATGACTTGTGTTTCTGGTTCCGGACAGAAATGTGTAACCTGGGTTTGAAGACTTTAAGTTCCTAGATAAATCTGATCGGATGGGGGTTTACGGTGAGTTTAGCAGGTTCATCAGATGAATTAAGTTTTCTTGTTTGTGGACTTCAAGTATTTAGAAAATTCTGTTTTTTTCAAAAAAAAAATAGGTTGTAGCTGTTTTCACGAACCATAGAAGAATACTGCAAATAGCATGTGTCGCATAAAGTTAGCATTGAGGTTATAGATAAGATAAGGACCACAAAAAAAAAGATAAGGACCACACTTTTTTCTGAGCTCGAACAAACCTCTATCTAATTCCCTCAAAAGCAATACAAAGGAAATACCAAGCAATTGTAGAGAAGAGATAGGAAATCTACTTAATTAACATTTCTTGCCTCAATAAAATACAACTACAAGTTAAAAATGACTAAGATTAACAAGGGAAAAAAATGATGTTAGTCAGTGAAGAACTCATTAGAGAGAAATTTACTCATATCTGTACTTAAACCGAAATTTTAACTGATAAATTTCTTGTACCTAACTGAATGGCTCAGTAGTTTAAATTTTAAGAAATTGTTAACCTCTCAAAGCCAAATCTATGTGCCAATTCAATTACTTTATATAAATATAATACCAAGTAATAATAATTAAATATGTGGCGAATTCCACATTACCCTCAAGATACCGACTACGTGGGCCTATTAGAATATTGCAATTGAGCAATTTAAATATTAATAAGTGATGAGATAATGACTTGGATCAATCAAATGTATTGTGATACCATTTTTTATTTGTGAGGTATAGTTGCACTCACCTAAATATACTCTATTCATCTTCACCCTGTAATAATTCTCTTCACTGTGATGTATCAGGCTACTGAGATGAACGAATAATACTGTATGGTTCATTTGTATTTTCCTTTAGCACAAACTAAAAAAAGGCATCTTACCAGGTTTGATTATTCTAATTCAACATGGAAATTGTATGATTCCATTCATATATTGCAGATATCAACTTACTAACCTAAAAACGAATAAAATGAACCAACTTTTCAACCAAAAATTTACCTGTGCAATGCAACCACCGAGACCCATCCCTTCAAAGATCTGGTGAAATGCCAACGCCGCCACGAGCGGCCGTATGGTGCACTGGTTCTGAGACATTCCCATCGTCGCCCCGATGATCACAGAGTGAAATATTATCCCAATTTCCAGAACTTGGGACACCAATTTTTGCTTGAGCCTCACTGATTCGTCTTCCTCAACAGCCGCCGCTGCTATCCCCAGTTCCACCTCTTTCTCCTCCACCCCCAATTTCTTCTCCACTACTCCCAATTCTTCGCTCGCTCCTATAGGAGTGTAATCCTTCGTCACTTTAAGGTTCCGATTCCCGTGACCGTGACTCTCTACGTGAGAAGTCGCCGTCAAGTCAACCAACAGTGCCGTCAGAACGCCGACTAAAGTTATGAGGCCTGAGAAGGGGAAGTCCTTCCACGGATGCCTGGACGCCACCTGGCAGTCGGAGAGCGCGTCATAGGCGTCAGGAAGCACGTGCACGAGCGATGTGGAGAGAATCACGCCGGCGGCGAAGCACTTGATGATCAGAATCGCCTTGTCGTAAACAGGTCTTCCGTGAAACAATCGGGCGAGTACGACCGGTAAGGATATCCCGATAACGCTCGTGAAGAAGATTACGAAAACGGAAATAAGCTTGAGGTGAGCTGCGGCTTTGCTGTCCCTGCAAGACAGGGCATGGGCCGTGTCGGTGACGCACAAAGCCATGTCTCCCTCCGGCGATCGGCGAAACAGAGGGCCGGGAAGGAGATATGAGAGTGCGTGGGAGTAACCGGAATCGTTAACACGGAAAACGGCAGCCGGTTATGCTTTGAATGTGGCGGTAGTCAGGAAATCCAGAGGTTCAAGCCTTCGGTTTCGAGTGTGCGTTCTTAAACTTTATTTAAGGGATTCTCCAAACCATTTCAATGTTGACATTTTTACACATCCATTCCATACTATGGAGTAATAAAGTAGACTCATTTTGAAGTATACTCGAACAAAATTATGAATGAAAATGATTTAAGTTATTGTGAGTAATTCCAGGATTGGGTGTTCATTTGGTATCCTCTATTTTTGGTCATTTGTTTTACTAAAGATGTAGTTCTCAGTTCAGAACTTATGTACTAAACTAGATTCTCACCCGCGCGATGCGCGGATGAAAATTTCCAATTTTTTTTATTAAGAAGTGTATTATAAAAACACAATAAGAATCAAACACAAAATAAAGTGGTAAGTAATATATTAAATGTTCGTAGTTAAAGATAGATTAAAACATCGTCAAAGAAAGGTCAATATAAATATTAAAAAACAGATATAACATTGGAAAGTACAAAGTCGTAAGTAATAATCAGTGTTCAAGCTCAAACTACAAATTCTGAAAGACTTCTTTGTATTGGTAGTATGATCCATCTATTGATTACCATCACTACAAATCACTATTTTCAACCCTTTTCTATTGGTAACTTTTAACACTGCACCGTAAAGTTGACTGTGAGCGAAGACTGTTTTTTTAGTAAAAGACCAACATGTGACATACAACGATTGATCGTAACTCTTGTTTATAGTCATCACATAAGAGTAGGGGTGGACCCGGGTCGGGCCACCCGGCCCGCTACTGTGTGGGCCCGGGACCGGCCCGGTTCAGCGGTCCGGGTACCGGGCTTTGACCCGGCCCGAGGGGGAAAACGGTACCGGGCACGGGTAGGACTATTTGAGACCCGGCCCGTCCGGGCCAGGTTCGGGCCAAAATCATTTTTTTTGTTTTTTCATTTTTTTATTCCAACGGGTTGAGCTGGGTGTTTGGGGGGGGTCAGGGGTAGTTAGGAAAGCCCAAAAAAATTACTTTTTACCCGGCCCGGTCCGGACCCAGAGACCCAGTGGATACCTGGGCCGGTCCCCGACCCAACCCCAAATCCCAGAAAGCCTGTCTGGCCTAGGCCCAACCCAGGCCCGACCCGGCCCAAATCCACCTCTACATAAGAGGTCATGATTGGACTATTTCTAGTCCATCAAATTTTCAAACTGATTCATCTTGCATTATAAATGATAAGGTTATTATGATTATGATAAAAATACAACAAAAATAAATTTTCCATCCAATCAAGAATATTCAAGAATACATAATTAAAATACAATCACATTTATTGCTAGCCTTATCAAATAAAATAAGCCCAAAATCCAGCCCAACCACCCCATTTAACACTGCCCGTTTTATACTGCATCGGCCGAACCCAACCCCATTTTCCAGATGAGTCATCGGTTAAACTGATGCTCTTTGAAGTTACTATACCATCCGTTCAACAAACTTAGTTCCTATTCCTCTGTCCGTTCTTCCATAAGTAGTATCTCCCTTGGTCCCTTGTTCCCAACGTTGTCTGTTCAATAGCCCGGGTGATACACATCCTTCCATTTCTTTGATCATTTGTGTATTCTAACAATGGCGAGCAACCGGTAATCCAACCATGGGACTCTGAAGGGTATATATCTCATATCTTCGAGCTCAGTTTTTAGTAAACAATGGCGAGCAACCGGTAATCCAACCATGGGACTCTGAAGGGTATATATCTCATATCTTCGAGCTCAGTTTTTAGTAAAGAAGTGATCTGTTGGCTGGTGCATGTCAATTGATGACATGTCGTATGTTAGGTCTGCAATGTGGTAGGATTACCTATTTTGTTTGAATCTGTTTCAGTGGTTACCATATACCAATTTCTGAAAGAGGGATTAAGAAACATCCAATTGGCTTAAAACCAATTTTGTTACTGCTCATCATAAGTGATATGGTATTTTAGGGAACATTTTGGGCATGCTCATCATAAGTGATATGGTATTTTAGGGAACATTTTGGGCAAAAATGGCTCGTGATAGAGGGATTAGGGTATGAGGAAGTTTGGTTCCGGGTTTTAAAAAGTGTATCATAGCCCTGTTATATGTTTTAAGGCTGAAAATATTAACATGCTACTCCGTACATTACTATTATACTACCTCCGTCCCAAATTGATTTGCAAATTTGACTTTTTTCGGTCAAACAGTTTCATTTTGTTCACCTAATTAGGATGTCAAATTTTAATTATATTCTAAATTGGAGTTTACATTTTTGAAGAGATTTAAATGTAGTTTATGAATATATAAATTTTAATTATTAAAAATTGAATTAATTATCCAAATGGAGGATTGACTTTTATTATTGGTTGACAAAAAAATATTGACTTTGCAAAACAAATTGGGACGGAGGGAGTATAAATTTGATTGAGACACTGTCATGTCGAAGCCAATTGGATGTTTCTTAATACTTATTCTTACTATATCAAAATGATCTTTTAGACATCATTTGGAATTATGGTTCTTGTGATGCTCAATTTTTACGCGAGTCAACTCAAACTTCTTAGAACATGAGTTTGATCAATCCCAATACTGCTACAACATTTTACTATATGTAGCCAGCTGCTTACTGATTATTTGGGGTTCTAACATTAAAACTCTCAGTATAGGAAAATAAAAATATATAAAAGGACTTTAAAAATAGTATGTAAAATAGTTGAGTAAATATATCGTTCAAGTATAAGCCCAATTTAAAATTTGCTTTCTTTTTTAGCTTTACTCTAAACTATGATCTACATTCTTCTTTAAGTAATCAATACCTATAATTATATAATGCACGTAGTATATTTCAAAATGGTTATTAAAGCCTGTTATTATCCCTAATATCCACCAGGCTTAAATAAGATTTTCCTTTCATTCATGCCAATGATTCTATGTGCTTGAGGCACACAGTTTCCCACACTTTCCATTAGCATCTGTTTCTATCAAATGTTAATAGGTACAACTATACAAAATATAGAAAAGATCGTTTGAGTCTCACCCATGAGTTTATTATTTAATTACCTTCTGTAGAATTAATGTGCCCTTGTTTTCAATTTTAGTAAATGATAATCTTAGATGAACACTACCGTTTTTTGCCCTTCTTTTCAATTTAAGAAGACAGTCAAGACACAATACTCTATTTTCATTATTTTCAAAAAAACATTTAAGAAGCAAATGATATGTTTCTTAAGCCCGGAAAATGACTTCTAGTGTCTCTTCACCCTGGAATAATTTTTAAAGCAAAAAATGATCAACTATATAACTAATACCATTTTCCACCTTGGGTTGCAAGTAGCAACCCTTCCAAAAATTTTACATAGAACTCCCTGAAATAAGAATGCAGAAAATATTGAAATAAAATGTTAAGTACCATATACGTAGTATATTATTTTGAAAAAAGTTTTCAATAAACAAAATCATACTTGATATAAACATGGTCATGCCCTTTATGTTGTGGGTTAGTTGCTAAACTGTCGAGGTTGTGTTATCTTCTATACTGCTGAATCTGGTATAAACTATAAAGAGTTAGTATGCAAATGTCATGATAAATACTAAGAATTACGTAGTACTATAGTAGAAATTTAATGGCTTTTTAAATACTAATACCTTATTGCTGAAAGCCATTTACAATTTTACATCCCCTGGCTTCCCGTTAAGTTGGTTGTCATTGTAACAGTTCAAGAACCCTCCCTCTCCGTAAAAGCCCATAGCCTTTATATTTGCTTAGTCTACCTCATGTTTTCATGTGCGGTTTGTTCTGCTAAAACATCTATATTTATAGTGGATTTGTAATAGGCATATTCATTGCCCGAATGTTGTAATCCATTGATCAATATTCTGTATCTGTCCATCACGTGTTGATATCGATAAAGGCGTACTGGATATCCCTAAAGCCAATATATTAGCTGTAAAGCTGTTTGCTATCTCGAGGAAATTAAATGCCAAATGCAGTATCCAATGTAAATTATCAACTCTAGCACGTTTCATTTGATGTGAACTACAAAACTTTGTACGTTTCACATTGGGATTGATGAATAAAAGATGCTGTAATTCATAGTCAACCAATTTGATCTAAAGTTTGAACAGAGCCAACCACAATAGACAAACTTGCATTAATTGCATACGTACGATCAGCCAAGCACATAACATAACTTGTTTACCTAGTACCCGAACCTAGATACCCGACCCATATTTTACATGAAACTTTAGGCGGGAAACTTGTCTCTTTTTCCACCTCTTTTTATATAGAGGTAGATTGTGTAATAACAAAAACAAGTAAGATTGAATTTACTTTTCTGATCGAATCGATTGAAATTAGACAATTTTAACTATTTTCATGTAATCCGCAGTCGTGATTCTCTCCACATCGCTCATGCACGTGCTTCCTGACGCCTATGATGCGCTCTCTGACTGCCAGGTGACTTGATGGCGACTTCTCACGTCGAGAGTCACGGCCACGGGAATCGGATCCTTGAAGTCACGAAGGATTACACACCTATTGGAGCGATCGAAAAATTGGGAGTGGTGGAGAAGAAATTGGGGGTGGAAGAGAAAGAGGTGGAGCTGGGGATGGTGGCGGCGGCTATTATGGAAGACAAATCAGTGGGGCTCAAGCAGCAATTGGTGTCCCAAGTTCTGGAAATTGGGATAATATTTCACTCTGTGATCATCGGGACGACGATGGGAATGTCTCAGAACCAGTGCACCATACGGCCGCTCGTGGCGGCGTTGGCATTTCACCAGATCTTTGAAGGGATGGGCCTCAGTGGTTGCATTACACAGGTAAATTTTTGGTTGAAAAGTTGGTTCATTTTAATCCCTTTTTAGGTTAGTAAGTTGATATCTGCAATATATGAATTGGAATCATACAATTTTCATGTTAAATTAGAATAATCAAACCCGGTAAAATGTCTTCTTTTAGTTTTTGTCAAGGAAAATGGAAACTCGCACGGGTAGCTCAATTGTTCGAGTGGTTGGAAATTTGGATCAATGGATCAAGGTTCGAATCCCCGCAGCGATTGGGTGGAGGTTGCAGAACATGAAATAAGGCTGGACCTTTGGTGCGCACGGGTGTAGGCCTACTGCCACTTTGCCGATTGAGTCACCGTGACTTACTTCATCATCCTGTCGGGTCGGAGTGAGGGGCTCCTGGGGTGGGAGATTCCACCTTTTGTTGGATCAATGTTAAGGAAAATGGAAATGAACCATACAGTATTATTCGTTCAACTCAATAGCCTGATACTACTTCATAGTGAAGAGAATTATTACAGGCCGAAGAAGTTGAATAAAGTATATATTTAGGTGAGTGATAAGGCACCTCACAAATAAATGAGGGTATCATACCTAGAAGACATTTGATTGATCCAAGTCATTATCTCATCATTTATTTATATTTAACTATTATTACTTCATATTATATTTAACTATTATTATTTCGTATTATATTTATATAAAGAAAATAACCAAACCGGCACATAAATGTGGCTTTGAGAGGTTAGGTACAAATATGAGTAAATTTCTCTATTTAATGAGTTCTTCACTGACTAACATCATTTGTTTCTCTTGTTAGTGTTGGTCATTTCAACTTTTTGTAGTCTTTTATTGAGGCAAGAAATATTAATAAAGTTGATTTCCTATCTCTTCACCACAATTGCTTGGTATTTCCTTTGTTTTGCTTACGAGGGAATGAGATAGAGGTTTGAACTCAGAAAAAAGTGATCCTTATCTTCATCTATAACCAAAATGCTAACTTTATGTGACACATGCTATTTGCAGTACTCTTCTATGGTTCCTGAATGAAGTTGGGAGCGGGAGAGTAAAGAGTACTGATAATGTAAGTGTGACTGAGAGGTACCTAAACTCGTAAAATCAGTGCTAATTTAGTCCACTCATGAATTAGGCAGTTTAAAAATGCCGAGTTGGCAAACTGATTAGTGACATGGCAAAAAAACTCACCTCATCCTTGTACCTGGACAACCCTAACTATGGCCCTTAGAGCATTTTCTGGACATCAAAGCTCCATTTCTGATGCTTCGTTCAAGGTCAGATTGGTTTCCCCTTTCAATTCCTCGTTATATTCCATCGTAGATTAATCTATCTTCGTTCTCCAATCTCAAATTTTCAATTTTGGCCGTGGAGATGAAAGAGAACTGGTAGAGGAAGATGGCGATTGCTAGCCCTAAAAGGATGATGGGAAGGCCTCGTGTAGCGACGGCGCATGTAGTAGTAGTAAATATAAGAGAAAATTATTGAGGAAGTTCTAAATTTGGAGGAAGTCAACACGGGAATGTTTTTCTCGCATCTTCTTTGCAAACTACATTATGTAAATTACGAGTAGAACCTGAGTCACCGGAGAAAGTTGAATGAGAAGCCACTGGAGGAAGTCACCGGGGTAGAACGAGGAAGAATGGGAAAGCATTTTGCCGGGAAGAAATGGGGAATCTGCCCTGCTCAACCACCCGGAGATGGAGAACGTCACGCAGTTCACAATCGAGAAGGCGTTGTGGGACATCCATGACGTCGGTGTGCCTTACCCCTCCGTATTCCACATTTCCACCCCAGTACAATATGCGCCCATATGGATGCTGACTAGGAATCCACACTATACACACTATTGCTTAATAATTGCCAACTCAACGTTTTAAATTGCCTAATGCACAAGAGGACTAAATTAGCACTGGTTTTATGAGTTTAGGTACCTCTCAGTCACACTTACACTATCAGGTACTCTTTACTCTCCCGCTCCCAACTTCATGTACCGATCTGCCACTTTTCTCGTTCCTGAATACAGCTACAACCTTTTTCTGAAGAAAAAAACAGAAATTTCTAAATACTTGAAGTCCACAAACAAGAAAATTTAATTCGTGTAATGAACCTGCTAAACGCATCGGTTGTAGATTCCATAATTTAGCAGATTCAATCAAATGAGCCAGCTCAGGTTTTACCAAACGGACCTTTAAATTCCATAATATTCATTGCCATTCATTTTATATTTATTTTAGACAAATAAGAAGCATATGTCGGTAATTTCTATAATAGACTTTGTATGGTGAGCATTCTCCGATTGTAATTGAGGATTTCCACTTTTCATTTTTGATAGAAACAATGGTACAAATATTACTTCTCAGCTTTCATTAGACAAAAATACGGCCAAATTTGATTTAGACAAAGAAAGTGAGTAACACAACTCATCTGGGCTCGACTTCTCTCTACGCTCAGTCGAATCATTTCTCTATGCGCTCAGTCGAAGACTTCTCTCTGCGCTGCAACCCTTGCTATTTTGCCAAAGATCGGATGAAGTTTCTCTTCTTCTCGCAAATCATCTTTTTCCATCTCCGTCGCGGTCCCCTTCTCCTTTCTTCTAGGGTTGGGTCTGGGGTAGTAGGGGCGCAACGTTGGGCATTAGCGGCTACAGTCAGGGCTGTCTCTAGGAACTTTTTGGCCCTAGGCAAAAACTAAATTACATCTTCATATCAGTGATAAATGTTAATTTTTATATTAGTATTTTGATGTTAAACTTTCTAGAACGTAAGTTGAAATTTAATATTTCAAATCTTCATTCGATGTAAAGTTAAATTTAATGTAACACATACACTATTTTTCGTTAAAACTTAAAAATGTACTTATCATGAAAATGCATTTGTGTAAATTCATGCCGCACCAAAGATACAAAATATTTTTCTTTTGGCCTCAATATTGAAGGTCTTCCATTTAGAAAGTGAAAAACGCACTTGTGAGAAAAGAATTGGTAGGCTATTGAACGAATGACCTATTATGAATGATCTTCAATCTTCGTAATATTAATCGATCAACTAAGAATTAGGATGAAAGAGTTGGCTGATTACTAATTGAAGTTGTGAAAATTATCACTTTTTTATTTAGATTTTAGAATTCTGTACGTGAGGCTCCCAGATTCCTAACTATTGTTACAATATCATATTGATGATTTTTAGTACCTTACATCTAGGATTGGAGAATATAATAGATTAAGGATGTTTTCTTTGGGCTGTTTTCAGTCCCAGACTAGATCAGACCAGACCAGACCAAATCAGACCAGACCAGCAAATTTCAGTCCAAAAGAAAACATCCTAATTATTAAGTGAGCTGCACTATTCTATCTAGGCCATGTGATGATAGTGTGATACAAAACCAAACTGGTAAGAAGGTCAAAACCCTTAGGCCAGATAATGGTCTAGAGTCTTGCAATAAGGATATGAACCAACTGTGTGTTGATTGTGGGATTAGAAGGCATAAAACTGTGCCTTATACTCCCCAACAAAGTTGGATAGCCGAGAGGATGAATATGACTGTTCTAGATAAGGTTAGGAGTATGCTTGCCACCGCCGGTTTGTCTAAAAAGTTTTGGGGTGAAGCAGTCAATACTGTTGTCTACTTGATTAACCGGTCTCCTTCTGTTCCCTTGGGTGGGAAGTGCCCTGAATCTGTTTTTTTCAAACAAACCCCTTGATTTGTCTAATCTTAGAGTGTTTGGGTGTGCAGCGTATGTGCACCAACAAGGTGACAAGTTGGATCCTAGGTCTAAGAAAGGAGTCTTCCTAGGTTATCCTGAGGGTGTGAAGGGGTACAGGGTTTGGGATAGGAACCAGGTAGGTTTCAAATCTGTGGTAAGTAGAAACGTTGTTTTCAATGAATCCGAGTTTCCTTGTCTGGTTAAGTCAGTTCCTGATTCTGAGTCTAATCCTAGTAGTACACTCATTGAGGTGGAGTCCATACCACGAGCTGCTAGTCCTTTGTTTGCTAATCATGATAATGTTGTTTTGCATTATTCTGATTCTTCTGAATTGCATGATTCTGATTCTTCTGAGCATGATACTACCACCACTTCGAGTGAGGTGGAGCATTCTCATGTCCATTCAAATGACAATGAATCGCATGATGAGAGTGCAGATTCTAGTGAGAATGATTTGCATGATTATCAACTTGCTAGAGATAGAAGTAGGATAATAATTAGGAGAACTGTTGATAGTATGCCTGATTATGCTTTCCATATGTGTGATACTTCTATGTTTGCTTTCTCTGTGTTTGAGACCCTTGAGCTTAACGAACCTAGAACCTAAAGAGAGGCCCTTAAGTCTAATGAGTCCACTAAATGGCTTTGCGCCATGGAAAGTGAGATGGAGTCACTTAGAGCGAATAAGACTTGGACGTTAGTTCCTAGACCGCCCAATAGTTTCGTTGTTGCATGTGAGTGGCTATTTAAGGTTAAGGAAGAGCCTAATGACATTAGATATAAGGCTAGGTTAGTAGCTAAGGGATTTACTCAAAAGGAAGGTGTTGATTATGCTGAAATCTTTGCTCCTGTAGTTAAATTTACTACGATTAGAATGATGTTTGCTCTTGTTGCTCATAATGATTGGGAAATGAAGCAAATGGACGTCACCACTGCATTCTTGCATGGTGATTTAGATAAGAAAATCTATATGTCGCAGCCTGAGGGCTTTGTGGATCCCATGAAGAGTGATCATGTGTGTTTTCTTAGGAAGGCCTTGTACGGCCTGAAGCAGTCCCCGAGGCAGTGGAATATCAAATTTGACCAGTGCATGTCATCTTTGAAATTTCACAAGTCCGAATGCGGCCATTGCCTATACTTTAAAAATACTTCCTCTGTGCCTGTATTTTTATTGCTATATGTGGATGATATGTTGATTGTTAGTCCTTCGGGTGACGCCATTAAATGTGTGCAAAAGCGTCTCAGTGAGAACTTTGCTATGAAAGACCTAGGTGATGCCAAAAGGATCCTTGGCATTAACATTGTTAGGGATAGGAGTAAACGTGTGTTAGTTCTCAAACAGATTTCATACATTGAAAAGATTTGAGTAAATATAACATGCATTCTGCTACTCCTGTTTCTATCCCGATGGCGTCTCACTTTGTGTTAAGTAAGGATCAGTCTCCGAAGACTGCTCCTGAAATTGCTAAAATGAAATCTGTGCCTTATTCCAATGTTATTGGGTCCGTGATGTATCTCATGGTGAGTACTAGACCCGACATTGTCTATGCTATTAGTTGCTTGAGTACGTATATGTTTAATCCTGGTTTAGATCATTGGAATGCTCTTAAGTGGTTTCTTAGGTACTTGAAATCTACTGTTAATCATGGGTTGGTTTTCACTAGGTGTTCTGAGGGGGTTAAGTTGAGTGGGTATGTGGATTCGAATTTTGCTAACGATAGAGACAATAGGAAATCCACTACCTCTTATGTGTTTACCCTTTGCGGGTCGTGCATTAGTTGGAAGTCTCAATTTCAACCCATAGTTGCCCTATCCACCACCGAGTCTAAGTATGTGGCCGCTACC